AAAAGTTTGAACAAAAATTATTTTGTAATTTGCGAATATATTTTAATTTACATTATTAAAATTTTCATAAACTAATTATCATTAAAATCTAATAATAATAGTAATTTTAATAAAGGATGAATTTCCTATTAACATAATAAGAAGCACAAAATTTTTTATTAAATTTTATTTGAATACACAATCATTTTACTTGATATTTATAGGTAAAAGGATTCTTATCAAATTCGTTAAAGAAACTATGTAATTTTTAAAATTAATGTCAACTAAGCCAAAAAAAAGTATTAATCGTCTCCAATTTTGTAGGACAAAATAAGAGAACAATTATGTTAAGCATCTTCAATAATTATAAAATTAAAGTCAACTAAACTAAAATATATTAATAGTCTCTCAATGTAAGACAAAAGATGAAAATAATTAGATTTATTATCTTCAATAATTAGCAAAATAAATATCTACTTTTTTTTTCAAAATATCAATATTGCTCAACCAATATTCTTAATTTATAAATTAAGACCTTGACAAAGTAAGCGATCGAACTCGGCCCACTAGACTTGTCATATCTTCTTCCAAGTAGTGCCCCATTTATTCAAATACTTAAAATTTTATTGAGACTTCCTTTTTTAATTGGTCGTACAAATCGTAAGATGGTCACGCCCCCAATCTTTTAAATTTAGATTTATCAATTGAAATTGTTATAAATAAAAATTAAATAATGAATCGGTGATAATGCTATATTCATTGAAATAAATGAACGGTATATATAATATACAAGTATGATTTACGCTTCGTTTGGGACAACTTTCTTTCTGCTTTTTAAAATAACTTTGTAGTTCAAAAATTAAAACTTTTGAATTAAAAAGCTGCTTTAAGAAGCAGTAAGAAAGTCGTCCCAAACAAAGCCTTAGACTTCGTTTGGGACTATTTTTTTATTGCTTCTTTAAATTGCTTTTTTTATACAAAAATTAAAATGGTGTTTTAAGAAGCAATAAAAAAGCTATCCTAAATGAAGCCTTATACACCATTAAATGCTTTATGATGAACCTATGTAATCTAAGTAGCTCAAGGCTTTAGGCAACATTTGATTTAATAAGCTCGAAGTTACAAAGTTCAAGTTGATTCATAATCAATGATTTGTTGAATAGATTCAACCTTCAATTAATAATCTAACCCAGAAGAATATGAGAGTATTTCAAATCACTATAAAATTTCTAATGTGATGGCTTCTCTCTTCCCTCTCTATCTCTGTCTTTTTATAAATTAATCTTCAAAAATAATGATTTACTCATCTTCGACTTTATAAATCTTCAATGGAGGCACTCTTCCTCCACTAAAGAGAAGGGAAAAAAAAATAATTTTATTTGGTTGCTTGTGCCTTGTTATATTGTTTGGTTGGTCTCTCAGTTGTGGTGGTTTTGTTCGTCTATTGGTTTGATCTCTTGGTTGTAGTTTCTAGTTTTCCTTCGTAGGGTTTCTCTTGATTGTGGTGGTTTGGCCTCTTGGTGGGTTCGGTCTTTTGGTTGTGGCTTCGGGTGGAGTTTGGTTGGTGGTTGGTTGTGGTTTTCTTTTGGTTGCTCGATTGTGGGTTTGTCTTATGGTGTTTGGTTTGCCTCTTGGTCTTTCCCAGCCTTTCCTCTTTGGGGTTGTTTTGGGTTGTCTTTCCTTATTTTGTTATGTTCTTAATCTTTTTGGAGGTTGTTTTGTCTTGCAGGTGTTTGGGCGGTCTTCTCGTGACTTCTCAGTCTCTTAAGTTGTGATGCTGCTATGCTTTCGAAAGTTTTTGCTCTCTTTATTAGTGTCCTTGTGTTTGGTTGTCTTTTGTCTCTTTGTTTGTTTACTTGCTTTTAATTTGTTTGTTGTTTTGATTGTAATAAATTGATCATAAACCTTAGTTTTTTCTTCAAATACTGTATTTTTATAGGGCTTTTGGTCCTTTAAGGGCTTGTATCTTTTAATTTATATTAACGCGTAGACTCTTTCATGAATTCTATCCAAAAAATACAAAAATAGAAATAAAATAGTGAAGGCACTCTTCCTCCAACTTTATTAAATATACAAGAGAATATCTTAAATTTTGACACAATCTATGTCAATCTTTAATACACGCACTCCATGAGGCAGTCATAATTATCTTTCCTAATCATTGAATGTGTAGAATTAATGCCAATTTATAAATTTAGAGAGGATATTTAAGCTTTTTTAATCAAATTTTTTATACTCATCAATCAAATCATTAAGAATCAGAATTAGTAAAAATTATTTCGTGTTGACGCCGAGCACAGTCGGATGCAAATGAGAAAGCGTCACATGAGCCAATGCACGATGTATTGCATGACGTGACACCTCCTCATTCGACTTCAAACACATTCGACATCCGCACGTAATAATCTCTCCCGAATCAGACTCCATCCAACTTAAGTCAAAGTTGGCTCAGATAGCCAATCGAGGGTTAACGTGACACCTATTGCATGACTGGTCAATCAAATCATTAAGAATCAGAATTAGTAAAAATTATTTCGTGTAGACGCCGAGCACACCCGGATGCAAATGAGGAAGCGCCACATCAGCCAATGCACGATGCACTGCATGACGTGACACTTCCTCATTCGCCTTCAAACACGTTCGACATCCGCACGTAATAATCTCTTCCGAATCAGACTCCATCCTTAAGTCAAAGTTGGCTCAAATAGGCAATCGAGGGTTGATGGGACTGGCCTAATGTGGTCCAATGCTAGCTAGCCATCCTTCAGTGTATCTACATAGACTCATTGATCCATTAAATAAATATTGCAAATATGAATTTGATACGTAATGGAGTATCATAAGCGTCTCCATCCGAGGGCATATCAGACTTATCCGGCATGCTAAGATTCTTCATAACTAGCCATGCTCCTATATGCTTAATAGGTTTGAAAAATAGACCCTTACCTACAATTAGGTTAATAGTACAGTCGACTAATATCAATAACTTATTTAGGATTGTATATTCAGATAATTAAATAAATTATGATAATATTTTTAAGGATCGATCGTATGTTGGGGTGTCAATTTTTTACACGACCCGAATCCGATCCGGAAAAATCCGGGTTCGGGTCAACCCGAACCCGAAACGGGTCTGGTTCGGGTCAACCCGAACCTGAAACGGGTCAGGTTCGGGTTGAACAAATCAACCCGTTTTAAAAATCGGGTCGAGTTCGGGTTGACCCAGCAACCCGAAATTGACTTGAAAGTGACACGAAAAATCATATTTGACCCGAAAACCCGAGATTTGTTCAACTTTGGGTCATTTGTGTCGGGTCGGGTTGACCCGGATTGACCCGGACCCGAATCAGGTCGGGTTCGGGTCCGGAAACCTGACCCGTTTTTAAAAACGGATAAGGTTCGGGTTGACCCGAACAGTACCGGGTCAGTTCCGGATTCGACCCGAACCCAACCCGCTGACCCGAATTGACATCCCTAATCATATGCTCATAAATAGATCTATACATTAAATCGCTTATCTATTTACTTTCATAAAATATATACTTGACCTTTTATAAAATGTGAGCTTAATTATTTTAAAATTTATTATGTATTATTATATTAATTTGCTTGTATTTAATGCAAATTAAAAAATCTCAAAGAGAAAAAAAAACACGACGCTAATCCAGCTATAATTAAAGATACAAAAGTCAACTTTTCTCTATAAGAGAAGTGCACATGATTAAATGATTGTGAATAATTGTTTGAAAATAAATGCACTGTAAGAGAATTAAATGGCTATTCTCTCTTTTTTTTTTTAGATTTAGGCAATTAAAATAAATTTATACATATATTATATATGCAATACTTGAATCTAAATTTTTTTTATTAATTGCCAAAATTTTCAATCAATACTCAATAGAATAAGTTAAGATGTGTGGGTAGAAATTGCACTTGGGATCATATCCATAAATTTTCTCATCATATTAATAGCGAGAAAGAGAGGAGAGAAAAAGATGAGAAAAGGCCTTAAGTACCATATTGGCCTTAAGCGTCGAACGCTCGCTCTCTAGAAATGAATAATAGCAGAGAGGGCGCTGCAGCGAAGCCACAGAGCTAGCGATGGAACTCCGGGTTTTAGTTGGTGGTCCGATGGAACTTCGGCGTCATGTGATGGTCCGACGGAACTCCGGGAGTTAGGTGGTGGTCCAATAGAACTTCGGGCGTCATGTGGTGGTCCGACGGAACTCTGGACTCTAGTTGAGGAGGAGCTAGGGGCAAGAGCGATCTCTGATCTCTCTCTTGCTCTCTTGTTTTCGCTTGGGGTCCCTTTCTAAGAGGAATAAGAGGTCAATTTATAGATTTTCTAGAGTGACATGACCCATAAATAGGAGGAGGATCAAAGGTAAATGAGGGAATTGTTTGGATGAACGGCCGATGTTGAATCCCTTGATCGTGGATCGTTGACTAGACATTTGAATGTCCTAATGATGTTGGAATTTCGTGATCTTGAGCTCGTTGGATTCGTCTCGTCGAGCCACTCGATTCGTCAATAAGCATGTCACATTTTGGAAATAGTTTGGTAATCCAATTTATGGTTTGAACCTCCCAATGACGCTTCGGGCCCTTTTGGACTCATTTGGTCTCGTATTTACTCGAATTTGGTGTCGTTAGGTTCATAGTCTCAAGACGTTCAGTTCGACTATAAGTTTGCTGAAATCGTAGGTCAGACGATCCCAAATTTAATTTTAAAAGTTTGTAACTTGATTTTTCCGATCAGGATAATTTTTAGATGTATCAAAACTGAAAACTTAAATTATTCAAATAAAAATAAAACTCCCTAAACTACAAATTTAATCATGATGGAATTAAATCAAAATATTCTGTTTTTTTTTTTTTTAAGCTTAATAGCTTGGCCATTAAAAAAAAGTAAAGTTTGAAAATCATATTTTCGGTGCTTTAATGGGCCTCCGATTTTTTAGCTGTAGATATATAAATTAATAATTACTTAAATTTATGCGGTATTTTCCCATCTAGTTTAAAGAAATGCTTATATGACCTCTTCTGTCTTCCAGCTCCTCCGTCTACTTTTAGAAACAGAGAAGCCTCCCCTGTTTCCATTATATTCTGCTCCACAACTCTCTTCTTCCGCTCTCACCAAGGAGAACAAAGCAGGAAAACGACAATGGGGGAGTCCTTCCTCACCGGAGAAGGCCTCTCCAAAGTCCCTCGCATCGTCTCCACCATTTCCACTCTCCTCCAGCGCGTCACTGATCAGAACGATGCACTAGCTTCCAGCCGCTGCCAACTCCCTCCGTCACCACCGCCGCCTCGCTATGCTGTGGCTTTCTACGCCCTCGAGAAGCCAGAAATAACGATCAGATGCTATCTTGACCGCATCTTCCAGTTCGCTCACTGCAGCCCTTCATGCTACGTCGTTGCCTACATCTACCTAGATCGCTTCCTTAATTTTCATCCTTCAATCGCTATTGATTCCTTCAGTGTTCATCGATTTCTCATCACAGCCGTTCTTACTTCTGTCAAGTTCATGGAGGATCGGTGAGTTCTTCATTTCTCTATTTCATTTCAGGTTCTATATGAATTTTAGGGGTTTTTCTTGATCCATGTTCTTCTCTTTTTCATAATTCGTCTCCGTTTTGTTACTAGATTGTGTAATTTTAACCATCACACGCAGAATTTACAATGGGTTTTGGCAGAAATTTCCCGAAATTCTCATAATGAGGTGTTTTTTTACCAATTCGTTTCGGTTTTTAGTTTCTATTTTGGGTAGAATTTCTAATGGTTTTTGCTTAATTGAGGATTCTCGGGTTTCGAACTCGTCTTCTCCTATGTTAGGGTTTTTTCATTTCTATGAAAACACCAATTAAGAAGCATTCAATCAATTGTTTTCCTTTCTAGTTTTTATTTATTACTTACACTAATTTCCTTTTCTTTTCGCCAAACTTGACATCAAAGAGTAGGTTGGAAATTCTTGTAACAAACTCATAAGCCATTAAATGTTTCTGGTGAGATAAATCTGCTTAATTACTGTAATTTAAGGATCATCGTCATCTTTAAAACCTGCCGTCTAACATTTTTCTCCAAGAACTATAGTGATTATGACTTACAAGTCTCGAGTTCCTTTCATCTAACTCTCTTCATGGCGAATATCCTGCAATTAATGACTCTTACTTGAAAAACAAAACTCCTCATTATCTCAAGCTACAAGTTATTTCCATTATATAAGCAACTTTTCTTCTCTATTTACGAGTCAATAACAAATACAATTATTTTCTGCAATAGAGAAATATGTTATTTACTAATAAAAACAATTGTCTTACTACTTAGGAAGTTGTCTTCCACATAAAGCAAAATTTTATGTGGAAGGTAACTGTGTAATTGTCTTGATTGTTGCCTTATAAAATATAAAAAAGATGCCTTGAAGTCATATAATAAAACTTCATATGCTAAATTACATCACATTTAACACATAATATTCCCATCCAATTTTTCGTCATGACGTGATTTGATAACAAATCATTTTGGTAACCGAGTAAACGTCACTTTAACAAAGCTAGCTTTTCAAATGAATAATAATCAATGGTTCATTAATTAGTTAGCCATTAGCTGTATGTTAGGGCATCTCCAACCAAAAAACTCATTTTCCACTTCAAAAGCAGTCATTCTTTCTTCAGTCGAACGACATTTCTTCTTCTTTTATGTGCTTCCTGCGAAGTCAATCATCTTTGGGGTGTTTTTCTCCTCTTTCGCGCACTTCTTCGGCAAATCCCACAGCGAATTTCTTTGGAATAGGTGAATAGTCCGATGCCAATATTGGCGTCGTACTGTTCACCTACCGGAATTTGACGTGCGATTTGGAGTTCAAATGGAGCAAATGGCTGACGACATAGAGTAGTATTGAGTTCGGTTGAAGATGATCTTAGGTGGTGAATTTGGGGCTTCTTGACTGCAAAGATAGATTGAACAAAATTGATGGTGGAATCAGGATGGCTAGATAGCTATCGTCCCTCTTAGATTTGACATCATGGAAATTTTTTTCTTGAATTCTATTGTAACTTTGTCTCCTCTAAATTTGGGGAAACTTTTTCACCCCTTTCTTACTTAGAATTTTAATTTCACCATCGAAGAAAACTATATGAAAAATGTGTAATCAATGGTCTTTTTTGTTACAGATGTTACAACAATGCATATTTTGCAAGGGTGGGAGGGATCAGTCTGGATGAGATGAACTATTTGGAGGTAGATTTCTTGTTCGGGTTGCGATTCAACCTGAATGTTACGCCAGTCATCTTCAGTTCTTACTGTTCTTTTCTAGACAAGGAGATGAATCTGGCTACCCCTACAATTCCCCCCAGATTGCATTGTTTTCCTTCTGAAGAAGAGTCGAGTAGCAGCTGCAAGCAGCAGCAGCTCATTGTGTGAGAACTGCCTTCTTTTTGCTCATATATGAATAGAGAGTTTAGTTTGTAGAATATTCTAGCAAAGATAAAAGCATGAAACTACTGTAATTCCCCCTCTTTTTTTGGATTTTGTGCTTTGTTTAGGTCTGAAAACTGTTAGGTTGGTTGAACACACTGCTATAATAGTTTGCTTTTTTTGAATATGCATTTTTGGGTATTTGTAAAGAGAAATTATTCTGTGCGGACGCCGAACACTATCCAATGACCAACCAGAATGTGCCACGTCACCCCCTGCTCGGTACTGCTCGGTACCAGGCTTAGTATTGCTGACATGACGCATTCTGGTTAGTCTCCGAATGATAAATTGTGTTCGACGTCCGTACAAAATAATTTCTCCCTTGTAAGAGCAATTGGCATGAGTTAATTCACGAGCCAAAAATATCTTGAGAGTTAAGATCAACAAGTCAACTAGTAGAGCTTATACAAAGATAGATTTTATCATCCAAAATTTTAGTATCTAATCAACATGTAAAACTAAAGTTTCGTTTGGGACAGCTTTCTTATTGATTTATAAAAACTTTTTTTTTTCGTTAAAAATTTTAAAGCTGCCCAAACGAAGCGGAAGAATATTTACAAAGTATGAAGTGCATTGAAAGGCGTTATTTTTTAACTTTTTATATGTTAGCATGATATTAAATTTTTGTTTTAAAAAAGGAGTTAATACGAAATATGTTTGTAAGTATGGAAATTCAAGAGCTTTAAATACTAAGTTATAAAGGGAAAAAAACCTTAGTTTTACAATTAGCTCTTCACCAAATGAACTCTTTAAAAGTAACGGTAGGTTGAGAAATTAACGCTGTTTTTATATTCTTATTTTGGCAGTTTTTTGGGATCTCTTCTTTTGGTAGTTGTCCGAGACAAACTTTGCCGGTTTTCTTTATATAGTGGCCCACTTGTAGAGCAGTTCGTTAGAGGTTTTTTTTTTTTGACATTTAGGTTGATTAAGTCAAAGCTCCCAATTAACAGATCAATATGACCCAACATTAAATAGCTTGGTTGGTGGACGAGTACGGTTGGAAACCCCCCAACCAGTGCCCGATTCCTCTCAAACAATAGTGCCTCTTAAGTGGGGCCCAATCAAGTGTGGTCAGAAGGTTTCTGAGGTGGGCGTCTCTTCTTGGTCAGTCGAGAACTGGTCAAGCCATCAAGCACCCTTTCGGGGATGAGAGCGGCTACATACCTTATTCCAAAAAAAAAGTAGATCAATATGAGCTGTGTGTTCGTTAAAGCTATCGCTATAAATTATTTTGTGAAAATTGTCTGATTAAAACCGATTAGAATATATTTTAAAATTTTAAATTTATTTTATGATAAATGCAATTCATTCGATGTGTATGCAACTGTGCATGTCTTTGCGTTAAATATTCCAACTAATATGAACAGCCTGGCTTTGGTGCCCGCGGACTATTTCATGTCTGTTATGCCAACTTCCTCTCCCAATCAAAGCGAGATTCGCAATAATTAATTATAAAGCTCATAAAACATATTTTGTAATTTTCCTGTTTTACTTTTGTAAATCTTAATTTAAATATTTATTTTGCAAAATTTAAAAATTGTGTACCAATGAGGAAAATAAATCTTCTTTCTTTGATCATTAGATAAGTGGAAAGAACTATATACTCAATAAACGCAAGGGGCACGAAGTATATATCAGATTTAGAGATGTTCTGAATTAAAATATAAACAAGACACACCGAGGCTTAGGGTGGTCGGCGATCGAGTACGGTTGGGAACCCCCATGTATCCTGGGTTCGAATCCCCCTACTTAGGAGTGTCAATTTTTGACACCATTCAAAAATCTGACTCAAACCTGACCCAAAAATTTCGGGTTAGGGTCAACCTGAACCCGAAACAGGTCAATTTCAACAATTCGACTCGTTTCAAAAATCGGGTCGGGATTCGGGTTGACACTTTGACCCGAAATTGATCCGTTTTTTGACCTGACAACTCAAGATTGGCCCATTTTCTGACCCATTTTTGGACCCGAAAACTAGTTTTTTTTCATGGTTTCGGATCATTTGGGTCGTGTCATGTTGACCCGGACCCAAAGCGGGTCTGGAAAATCAACCCGTTTGTAAAAACGGGTCGGGTTCAGGTTAACCCTAATAGTGATTTCCGAGACGCTATTAGTTTGACTATAAGCTCACTGAAATCGGAGTTTAGGTGTTTCCAAATTTGATTTTTGAAGCCAACTTGACTTTTTCGCCGAGATTTGTGCCCGATCAAGATAATTTCATGATGACGTATCAATATATATATATATATATATATTCAAAATAAACTATACAGCTCTGCATGGAGATGTAGAACATGGGAAGCTGCTTAGAGGGGGAGAAAATAGGTGGATTTGAGCTGAATGTCACTTTTGAATAATAAATATACAGATAAGGTTAAAGGGCCATGTGATGGTTTCCCTGTCATGCAAACAACCCATTATGCTTTTTTTTATTAATCCTTTCATTGTTTTCGCATCTAACCAATGGTTTCGTGCCTCTCACGTTTAATTGCTTCTTGATTAAATGTATGAATATTTTTATCGATGTGAGCATATAGATTAAAATTCATCAGAATAATTATAATTATAATAATATAATTGTTCCAAAATTCATCAGACTAGACCATTATTTGTTGATAATTTGCCAATGAATGTTTAGAAGTGGTACTATCACAAGGAAATCCACTTACACAAACCTAAATCTCACTGCATATTTGAATTGAAATGCAGAGAAAATAATCTATTATGATTAAGAGAATCAAATATGGTCGGCGGATGAAGTATTTTGGATTTCAATTAAAATATGCAAATCAAATATGTCAAAAACGGATTGATTGTCATCGTCGAATCACCACTTGACCACCGCCATATGAATACTGTGTTATTGGACTAGATCTTAGCTCAAAACACTCCATAAAAACTACTAAATCGTTGTCATTGGAACATTGCCTGATCGTCACCACTTGACAATTATTAATAGATAAATCTCATATAAATAAATAAATATGATTTGTGGTAAATATGTAATTAACTAGCCTTGGTCTTATTCTGTAAAGCCTATTTAAAGGCTATCTTGTAACTTGTTAGAGACATATATGATATTACTTTCTCTGCATTGTTTCTGCAACATTTCCTTTTGTCCGAAGAGACTGATGTGTTTCTACATGGTATCAGAGCGGGCGTTCAAGAACTGTGAGGATGGCGACCGTATCTTCATCTCAAACGGAGGAACAAGCCCAATCTACTCCGCAAGAATCTCTGGTGCTTTCCTCCACTCTCAAATTTGTGGTTTCTAACCTAAAATCCATTGTGCAAATCCAGCTCTCCACTGAAAACTACTCAATCTGGCGATCTCAAATCATCAAAGTCTTTCGCGCTAATGGTATGAATCGTTTCTTGATTCGAAAAATCCCAAACCTCCGCATTTTCTCTCTCATTCCGATGGATCTTCATCGTCTTTGTCAAATCCCGCATTCTTGCAGTGGTTACTCTCGGATCAAAACCTATCTGCTGCAATTTGTTCTACCATATATGCTCCCGTTCCTCCCTACATTATTCACCTGGATTCCACGGCATCTATTTGCACCCGATCATCTCATTCCGAAATTCGCATAATCATCCTTGTTAGACCATTGGTCAACCATTGCTGCCAAAAACATTGCCTAACCATTGTCATCATAAAAAACCGCCTGACTGTTCTTCAGACCACCGACTGGGGGCCGCATTCGAAGTAGTATATAATAGCTTGAAGCATAGCCAAAATAGTTTGTATCAGATCATCACACAATAAAAAATTGTCAGACCACCGCTGTTTAACCCACTAGGATCGCTGTCCTCGAACAATCGCTAGTAAACGTTGGCATAATGTTGTCAGAACATTGTCCACCAACATTGGATTGCCATCCCCAACAATTGAGTTACCACACTTCTTCAACTATTATCACATAAATACTATCCTTCGACCTAACATAAGAGATCATCCGATTTCATTCATTCGATCAAGCATGAATCGCGATGTAATATTTTGTTGGGAACTTATAAAATTAAATTAAGATCATTGAACTCTAATTTAAACAATCATATAATTGAATTGAACACCCCAATAAAACGAACTCATTAGTATCAAAACTAATATAATTCAACACCAAACGAGCACAAATCAAACACATAAACTATAATTAAAATTTTAAGGATATTAATTGAATGATCAAATGGTCTTCGAATATTGCATGCTTACGATCAAATTGAATGCCTCAACAATATAAATACAACAAGCCCAAGATCATTTAATTTTGAGTTCAATAAGGTACTTAAAACTTTGAATGAACATTCTAAAATCAAATGATTAAATATGCATTATAATATCAAGTGGTATGAAATTTTGATCAAATTTATTAAATATCACTATTATAAATTGTCCCAGTCTGCATAAGCGGGACCTCGGACATGCATTTGATGAGAGTTTGGAGAACTGAATAACTTGAGCTCTGCTTAATGTTCGTGTCGACTATCATCGAGCCACCACCATTATTTGACCACCACCGCCCTATCATCATTGCTCATTCACTATCATTCGATTGTTGTCGCTCGACCGTCATCATTTGATTGTCATAGTCTTGCCACTATTGCATGATGCACATTGTATGATGGCCATTATAATCTCTCCACTACTTTTATAGTAAGCTCCATCACAATTACATGAAACAAAGCTTAGACTTCGTTATTTTGTAATCCTCTATTCTCCAGTTATGAGAGACAATATATCTCTATAATTTTATGGCCAAATTTCACGTGAGAATTTTTTTTTTCGTGCATTAAAATTGTTTTTTTATATAAGAAAATAATTTCATTTAAAGTTGAAAATTTACCTTACAAGAGCATTCATTAATGAAAGCAAACGAGAATCAAAATGATGCATTTTATTTATTAATAAAATTCTATGTTTGTAAAACACGTGTATTTTATGAATATCTATTAAACACAATAAATAAAAAATTCTTATTTAATTTTTATCAACATAATCTCAAAAAATAATGTCTCAATCTTTTGGAATATTGTTCAGTTAATTATATATACATATCTTAATTATTATTATTATTATTCTTTTATGTATTTCAGAATAAATATTTTAATTATTACTTTTTAA